TATTTTGTTTATATTTAAATCTAATTTACATTTAGTTTTGATATTTGAAAACTATTTTTAAAAACAAATCTCAATCAAAATTGAATACATTTCTGTAAATAAAAACTTTATTTTAAAAATCACTTTTTATGTATTAAAAACATATCAAATATGAATTGAATTTTTAAAATTACATTTTTGTTTTAATAATACAATTATTACATCATACACGGCTTTAGTTTATATAAAAATAATAATACAATTATTCAATTAGTAATATATGTTTATTATACTTAAAATAATAGTTAATATAAACCAAATAACTAGTTTGCTAAATATTGATAGTTATTTATTTTTAGAAAATTGCTGATATTTGTAGATTAAATATTAGATAAATAGTTTTAAAATAAAATAAAACCTTTTTGTATAACGTTAAGGTAATCTCAGTATCAATAGTGACCATGTGTAATTTTCAAAAATAAAATAATCATTTTTGTCCGCATAATAGATAACACTGTTATCATAACAGTATGTGTTGTATTGGCTTTACTACTGTATTAAGAATTGGTTAGCTTTTGCTGTACTAACTGTTAGTTTCACTGCAACATACAGTTAGTGAAGCGAAAGGCAGGAATTGTTACCATATTCCTAGTGTAAGCGTTTGTATGCGCACACAAGTACATCAAGTATTTTATGTTGCACATTTTACTCTCATGTCAAATATATTTCGGAATATATTTCTCCGCTGGAAAAAATATTTAATATTTTTTAGAATTGAGAAATTTAAACAAAAATATAACAAATCATAACCAAACAATGTTATTTGGTAAAATACTTTTGATTAACCCAATACATTTATTTTAAGAGAGTTGAACATAATAAAGGAAATTATTTTTGTTAATCTAATGAAGTAATTTAATTTCTGTCAATTTGTAATTTATTTTTTAGTATATTTTAAAAGTAACGTTAGTTTAAAAGTTCAAATGATAGCTTAAAGATACTAGTGTCAGACGTTGTTTGTAATTAATTTAAACTATATAAAGTTAGTCATAATTATGTTAGTCAACTTTATAATAAATAACTAGCCAGTTACTTTAATATTAATTAATTTAATTGATATTAGTTTAATAAATAAAAATTAACAATGCTAATTATGTAGCGATTAATAATACTTTTACTTGATAATTCTTATTTGCTGTGCATTGAGAAAAAATATAGGAAAATAAATATATTCCCTAAAGTGTCTAACATTAAACACTTGTGACGTAAGTACATTTAGTACATATTCACGTTATATAGCTATATTGCTATTTTGCTATATAAAGCACATACAACACAGTAAAGTGACAACAACTTTATCATTTGCTTCTTTACGCTATTTCATGAGCTTTTAATTTAAAGTTATAACTATTTTAGTAAATTATTATTCAATTCTATTAATATCTATAGAATTAGTTAAAACTATAGTACAGTGCAAGCGATGGCCAAACGTTTAACAATACTATTCCTACCGATCGGCGCCGCCGGACATATGAACGCCAGTATAGGTATGTCGGAGCCGTTGATAGGGGCCGGACATCGGGTTGTGTTCGCCACTGAGGACCGGTTTAAAACACTTCTGGAGCCGTTTGGCATCGAAGTGGCCGTAATGGCCGGCGATGAACATCATCATGACAAGTATCATAACCAACATAACACCCATAACCATCATGATCATCATGACCATCATGGTGGTGGTGGCGATGGACACGAGGGCGATAGTGCGGCCAAACGCAACGCTCTTCGCATGCTGTCCCTCGGCATGTATGAGGAGATGTCGCCCATTGAAAGGGAGCGCACAGTTAGCGCACACCTGGGCAGGCGAGTCGATCAACAGATCGCTCTGGACCGCAATGTGGAGCCCGTTATAAAGCAAATTAATCCCGATCTTATTGTTATGGACCAACACTTCGCCATACCCTATGTCGAGGCCTGTGGTATACCGTATGTGTGGGTCCAGAGTAGCAATCCGTTGGTATTGACGGACGACGAGCGCACACCGCCTGCCTATTCCGGTAATTATTATTTTATGACAAATATTTTTGTAAATTATTTTATTAATAAATAAATAATTAAAAATTTTAATATATAAATAACTACGTATTTTTATTATATAGCTCATTTATATAAATTATTTATAAATAACTAATTGAATAAATATTTCTAATTAATAAATAAATAATTTATTTATATTTGTATTTTACAATCAATAGGTCTGTCCGTTGCGAGCGATAAGAGTGAATGGAAACGCTATCGACAACAGAGGGCTGACATCCAGAACCAGAACCGGGAGGCCTGGAGTCGACTCAACGACTACACTGTGAGCCGCGGCTGTGCGCCCATCAGCCCTAACTTCATTTACGAGTCCAATGTATCGCAATGTCTGTGCGTTTACGGCTATCCTCAAGAGTTGGATTACCTCGATGTCAGACCTTTGCCCCCGAATTTCATACGGTTTGATAATTTGAAGAGAAATGATAAGCACTCGACGTTTGAATTGCCGGATGTTTTGAAGCAAAAATCGGACGAGAAATTGATATACTTTTCATTGGGATCTATGGGTGCGGCAAATGTTGATAATATGAAGAGATTGGTCGCAATTTTGGGTAAATCCCGGCACCGATTCATTGTGTCCAAAGGGCCGCTTCACGACACCTATACTCTGGCCGACAATATGTGGGGCGAAGAAACTGTACCGCAGATACAAGTGTTACCATTAGTTGATTTAGTGATAACACACGGCGGCAATAATTCTGTGACAGAGACCATGTATTTTGGGAAACCGATGGTCGTTTTACCGATTCATTTTGACCAACTCGATAACGGACAACAGATCCAACACAAGGGTTTAGGCATTACTTTAGACTTCTTCCGGTGCACTGAAGAGGAGTTGTTGGGAGCCGTCGACCGACTCTTGACTGATAAGGCTTTGAAGGAAAAGTTGGCACAAATTGGCGAAAGAATACGAACTGAAAATAGTTTATCAAAAGTTCCCGAAATATTTGAGGATTTTATC